ACAGTAGTTGGTTTATAATATTTGATTAATAGAATTTAACACTTAGTTCACTAATATATTAGTGGAGATATGATGACTAAGTTGGATTGAAGTCTCAGTGAAACTATTACATTTCTGGGTAAAAAAAATATTTCAGAATAGTTAGATTTCCTTAATAGGGAAGCTATAATGGGTTAAGATCTGACCTAGCATTTACTCATAAAAAAAAAAAGATTTCTTTTCCGAACTTATTGTTATGCAATTGATTGTAGTCATCTTAGTTTGCTAAAAAATATGCAAAGAAAAAACCTCCATTCTTGTCTCCTATAAGTTCGTTAATGACCCAGCCAAGAGGAGGATTAGGACCAATAATTGGACTATCTTTACCTAACAACGTTTCTATCTCTAGTCCCTGAAAGTACTGAAAACAGTACAAGTAAATAGCTACTGAGTTTGTAAAATGAACAAAGGTGGAGATGTGTGCTGAAGCATTATCTGAAAATTTTGGAACATGGTGGCTCCTCGTCAAATACAAAATTAACAAATTTTACCATTTTCCTTACCAATTTATCTATATATCTATCTTTTTTTTTTTTGTACAGACAGGAAGTGGGAAGACATACACAATGCTTGGTGAGATTGAAGATTTAGAAGTCAAGCCAAGTCCACATCGGGGAATGACACCACGAATATTTGAATTCTTGTTTGCCAGAATCCAAGCTGTAACGATGCCACTTTAATCAGAAATCTTGTTCATTTGTATATCTTCCTTTATGTGCATATGCATATAACCTCTAGTTGGTTTAATTTTTTTTTTTTAATCTTTTTCCTTTGCAGGAAGAGGAGAGCAGAAGAGATGAAAAACTAAACTATAATTGCAAATGTTCTTTCCTAGAGATTTACAATGAACAAATTACAGACCTCCTTGATCCATCATCGACCAATTTGCTTGTAAGTTTGTTTCTTCTGGAACTATCTGTGCTTTTGCAATTTCTGTGAGCAACTTTTCATTAGGCTTTCTTCCTTATTTATAGTTGCGAGAGGAAATTAAGAAAGGTGTTTATGTAGAAAATCTCTCTGAATACGAGGTGCAAAGTGTGTCTGATGTTCTAAAGCTTTTAACTCAGGTACCAATCAATATAGATTCAGTAATGCCTAGAATATTTCTCTCTCTCCTTCTTACCCGAATTTGTGCATATAGTGCCTGCTTTAAATCATTATTTGTTTTGATAGGGTTCTTTAAATAGAAAAGTTGCTGCAACAAATATGAATAGAGAGAGCAGCCGTTCCCACAGCGTATTTACATGTGTAATTGAGAGTAGATGGGAAAAGGATTCTGCAACTAACTTAAGGTTTGCAAGACTGAATCTAGTTGATCTTGCTGGTTCAGAAAGGTAAGGCATCATACTTTGTTTGTAAGCCGTGCTTCAGTTCTTAATTGCATGATTTGGCTCCTGAGTTGAGCTATATTCCATTATAGGCAGAAGACTTCGGGTGCTGAGGGTGAGCGTTTAAGGGAAGCTGCTAACATCAACAAATCCTTGTCTACACTGGGGTAAAAAATTTAAATGCTCTTTAATAATTTACTGAACATGTTGCTTTGGCTATAGTGCTGGTTATCAACTTCATTGGGCAACACTGTTCATTGCAGTCATGTAATTATGATTCTTGTGGATGTTGCACATGGGAAGCCAAGGCACGTTCCTTATAGGGATTCAAAACTGACCTTTCTTCTCCAGGTTTCTTCTGACTCCATCTTCTCTGTCTTAACATTACTAGAATTCTTTGTTATGGTGTTATCTTTACCATTGGAAGCTATGCAGGATTCGCTGGGTGGAAACTCAAAAACAATGATCATTGCTAATGTCAGCCCTTCTATCTGGTTGGTTCTTACATTTCTATCTGCTTTGCTATTAATTAATCTACTCTTTTTTGTTTTTTTTTAACTGTCCTTATATTGTCCCACTTGCAGCTGTGCAGCTGAAACATTGAATACCCTAAAGTTTGCTCAGAGAGCAAAGCTAATTCAGAACAACGTAAGCTTATATATTTGATCACTTCAAAGTTACATAATAGCTTAGAAGGGATGAACTTTTGTTCCTAGAAATTTTAGTTTTTTAAATTACAGGCTGTCATCAATGAAGATTCCACAGGAGATGTCATTGCACTACAACACCAGATCCGGCTTCTAAAGGTGAGGTGTAGAATCAAATAAATTCTCTAATGCCTGGCATGATGGCCAACCAAAGTCAGTAATGATGATTCTTTTGGTACAGGAAGAGCTTTCTATTCTCAAGCGTCAAAATGTCTCAAGGTCCTTGTCATTTGGATCAACAACAATTGATAGAATGCAAGAGCAATATAGTGATTACTTAGATGACACATATGAAACGGAAAAACAGCAGGGTGAGGATTTGCTTGGCTATGAATCTGAAGGTGTTGTGAGAATGTCTGCTAAGCAGGTATTAAAGGTTATGCTACAGTTATAACTGTTTGATGCATGAATAGGAAAGATTCACATGAGATAGGATATGCGAAGAGAAATATTTAGCTTTAAAATTGTCATGTGTGCACGACTTATGCAACTATTGTTCTGATGAACTCCAAGATATGCATCTGGTGCATGTGCTTTCAGGGACAAGCATCTCAAACTGAAATAATCCTATGATTAAGTTTTCAAATACGTGTCCCATGACTAGCCTTTTAATAAAAATTTTGCCATATGCAAAGGCGGGCACCATAGGATTTCCTCATATTAGCATTTAGAAACCATCACATGCTCCTGAAAGTTCTGATGTGTCAGCTTAAATCTGTGGAGAGAACCCTTGCTGGTGCGCTGCGAAGGGAGCAGATGGCAGAAACTTCTATCAAGGAGCTTAAAGCTGAAAATGAACAACTGAACCGTTTGGTATTTACTCTTTTTGTCCTCTTTCCTCCTGAGTTTCCTTCTTGTAGAAAAACTTTGTTAAATTTCTTGACACTTTTTTTTCTCAGGTTCGGCAAAGAGAGGAAGAAACCAGAAGTACTAGAATGATGCTTCGTTTTCGAGAAGAAAAGATTCAAAGGATGGAATTGCTTCTTGGAAGCAACATACCTGCAGACTCCTTTTTACTGGAGGAGAACAGAGTATTGACCGAAGAGCTTCAATTGCTCCAAGCTAAAATTGATAAAAATCCTGAAGTAACTCGCTTCGCATTGGAGAACATTAGGCTCTTGGACCAACTAAGAAGGTAGTTTTCTGGGGTTATAACAACTTCATATGGTAGCTAACTGCTAAGCTTTAACCATTTATTCATTATGTCGATAATAGATTTCAAGAATTCTACGAGGATGGGGAGAGGAAGATACTCTTGGCTGAAGTTTCCGATTTGCGGAATCAGGTATTTTTAGAATATAAAAAGAGAGATGGTGTTGTCTCATTTGATCAGTTCTTTATAGCCTGAATAGACATACATCTTTTTTTTTTTTTTTTACTTTTACAGTTACTCCAGTTTCTTAATGGGAACTCTGAGCAGCAGAGCCATCCCAACTTGAACGTTCAGACACAGGTCAGTGTAGCTACCTTCTAAATTTTTGGTTTTATTTCCCTTGAGGTTCCGAGTAGAATCGAGGAAATATGATAAAAAAGAAAAGAATTATGCTCAGGGAGGCCCACTCTTAAACTCTCCTTGGGTGGTACCCTTGGCCTTCGTCTTTCAGGTAGCCAAATGTAAGCCTGGTAATTGTGTGTAAACAAGTTTATCTTGCATTTTTTAGTTATTTTCCTTACACATGTTTTATACATCTGAAACAGGAGGCAATCAGCATCAGCAAGGAGAACAACTCTCTCCATTTAGAGGTTGCTTAGTCTTGTATTGACTGGAAGTTTGTTCATTGTTCTCTTTGGAGTTTGATCCCATAATCATTTAGTTTCTACTATTTCAGTTGAAAAAGACTCTCAATGAGCTAGAAGAATGCAGGGACAATCTCAGTTCCTGCTTAGAAGAAAATGCAAAACTTTGTAGGTAAGGGAGTCCGACTGTTTTAGGATAATTTGGTTTTCTAGTGCTTTAATTTTTGCTTTTTTTGAGGCTTTACATTTCCTGAATGTTTTCCAGAGAACTACATGACCTTCGTTCCACCTTAAACAGTCTTAACTCTGCTCCAGCTGATCAGGACAACAATAATAAAACCATAAAGGTTATTTTGTTTTATATTTGGTCATGCTAATTGGATGGTTATATGTAGTTGTGTCGTTGTTCCTGTTTTGTTTTTCTGTACCTCTTTCTGCATTATGTATTCTGCTATATCCATCTATTGATGAACGCTATACACTAATTTTCAGGAATCATTGGAAGCTCAAAGTGATCGACTGATGACAGTGCAATCTACCCAGGCTACGGACTATGCTGAAGCAATCATGGATTTGCAGCTTGAATTAGATATAGTAAAAATTATTCTCAATGAAGAGAAATCATTTCGTGCAGAAATGGAAGAAAAGGCATTTTCCTTAAATAGAGACCTTAAGCTGTCAAAAGAGCAACTCTTGTTGGTAAACCAACAATATGAAGATGCAAACAATGAACTCAAAGAAGCGAGGTCTGTAATTGAAGCTCTTGAGTCGCAACAAATTTTATCAATCAATGAGATGGAGGACCTGAAGAAAAGCAATAGCCATCATCGGAATCTTTTGCGCAAACAAGAGATTGAAACCATTTCTTTGAAGGAGAAAATTTTTAGCAAAGAGGTAAAGGATCACCCACCCACAGATGGCAATGAGAAATCTGCAATACAATCCAAGTTGAAAAAGATGCAAGATTCTCTTGAGAAGCGAAGCAGCTGAATATATGGTACCAAAGTGATCTTGCTTTTCAGGTGTCTAATGAGGAAGAAATGGATGAAGTTCGTCGACAGGCTGAAGCTGAGACTGCTGAGGTTATTGTATGTTTGCAGGAAGAACTTTCTGTTCTTCAGAAAGAAGTCCAAGTGTGTCAATTGAGAGAGATTGAAACTAAAAAGAAGTTGGTGCTTTTGGAAGCTGAGATGAAGGAACTGCAAGAAAAATTATTCCTGATGGCTGAAGATAACAATCAGTTGTCAGGAAAGCTTGTTGAGAAGGATGAAGAACTAAAAATATTATCAGAAGAATGGAATCTACTAACCTGTGAGCTTGAAGAAATTCTTGTCAATGGGCATGAAGCACTTATTGATGCATCTGATCAGGTTAACCTCATCTCTAGTTCCTTCCCTCAGAAAAGGATTTTGATATCAGAACAAGTTGGGAGGTTGATTAGAGTTCTCTCTGAGAAGGAATTGTCAATTGAAGAACTTGGAAGATGTTTAGAAGACGCAAACAACAAGCGACAGGATGTAGAGTGCATGCTGAAGTCTCTGAGAGGGGCAGCTTTGGTGATTAATGAATCACACCAGCGTGAGTACAATGAGAAGGAGAAGGAAATTCTCCAGTTGAGGTCACAGCTGAGCACAAAATCATCCATCATATTTGAGATGGAGAACAAAATGAACATGTCCCAACTTCAGATTAATAAATTATCAGACTGTGCAACTGTTGCTTTTATAGTTGTGAGTAGATTATCAGAAATGAATGCTGACCACATTGATGCCTTGAAACAAAAGGATATTCAGCTTAGAGAATCAGCTGAGATCATCCAGATGAAGGATGCCCTTCTGGCCGATAAAGCTATTGTAGGTTATGAAGCAGAAAAACAAATTCTCTCTCTCAAAAAAGAAATAGAAAAGTTGGAAGAAACCTGCGCAAAACTTGGAGAAAAGTTTTCCAAGGAGGAGCTACGTGCTTGTTCTATGGAACAAGAACTCGAAGACATTAAAAAGAACCACATTCTGGAGGCACAAGAGAAACTCTCAGAACTAAAATCTGGTGTTTCAAAACTCAGATCATGTATGCACATGTATGTCGAGCACAATGGAAGTCCTGAAGAACATGATACACAAGTTTGTTTGCCAGATGATGGCAGTAACAAAGCACAGGTAAGCTAATTACTATTATTATTATTATTATCATTATTTTTCACTTTGGTACACAACTTAGGCCTTGAATGATGATATACTTTAATGTCATACTTAGGCCTTCTTTTGAAAGGTATTTGATTTAGTAATTGTATATCTGGCCATTGTGCAGTCAAATGCTGAGGTGAATCTTGATGATATGTCATTGCATCTGGTTGAGGACCTGAGAAATGATTCTGCTGTCAGTAAACTGAAAGTGGAGAATGGTGTTTCTAGCAATTCATGTTGTCAGAAATACATGGAGTTGAGGGCAACTTGCAACAATGTATGTGAAAGAGATGTTACCATTCTTCTTCTGAGAAAAGAAATAGAATCTGCCCTTGAAAGCTTAAAGCAGGTCCAACTTGAGATGGACAAACTGCAAAATGAGAAAGAAGAGATCAGGATGTCTGAGAAACAGAACAATGAAACCTTGGAGTTTCTTGTCTCGCAGATTCTTAACCTGCAAGAAGCTATGCATAAATTTGAAGAGAAATCTGCATTTAAAATAGAAGTTTCTAATAAAAAGATTGAGCGGTTTGGACAAACCATACAGGAAGCCGCAATCCAGTGGTGTCAACGAAAAGAGGTACTCTTTTTTTTTGCCTTTTCTGTTTCTTATCTATATTTTCATCTTCAGTTACTTTAACTTGTCCCACTTATTGGCTGGGACACCAAAAGGATCCTGGCCTTTCCTGCTTTTTCTGTATAGTTGATTCACTTCCCACCATTTTTATATTATTACGGGGCAAACTGTTTTTTCTTTTTTTCCAATCTTATGTGTGATACCTTTTGCAGTTTCTTGAACTTGAAGTTGGTGAAGCAAATATAATTGCTTCACAGAAAGCTGCAGAGGCTTCTTGTATTGTTGCTAAATTTTGGGAGGCCCAAGATACCATGAAAGAAGCAGATATCATGATCAATGAACTCATGATAGTAAATGAAAAACTGAAGCTTGATGTGGAAAGGCTGAAGCAAACAGAAATCAAATTAATAAACGAGAGGGACGCACTATTTGGTGAGGTTCAGGGCCTGCAATCCAGTAATGTAATGAAGGATCAGGAATTTGAAATCCTTCAGAAGCAGTTTGGATTAGATTTGTCTGAAAAAATTGATCTTGTTGCCGAGCTGGAAAGTATCATCACACAGCTGCAGGAGATTTATAATAACTTTATGACTATAGCCTATGATTGCTGTTGCTTGAAGTCTTTCTTTCTGGAATCAACAAGGTCGGTTGGACTATGTCTGGAGGACATCTGGTCTGAGATAATTGCAAAGGATTGTGCTATTTCAGTGCTACATCTCTGTCACATGGGAATTCTTTTGGAGACAGTAACAGGACTAAATGCAGAAAATGGTTTGCTTCAACATGGATTATGTGAATCAAACTCTGTTATATCAGATCTTAGGGAGCATAACTTCAAAGCAATGAGAGAGCTTGAAGTGTGTAGAAACCTGAAGGGGAAACTATTGGCTGACTTCAAGAGCAATTTTGATCGCATTACAAGGAAAGAAGAGGAAGCCAGTGAGCTTGGGGCCAAGTTGAGCTCTTTTGAGAAAAAGATATCAGATCTAAAGCTTCAGGAAGAGTTGATGTTGCAAAGGTCTAACTACATGGGATCTCAACTTGCTATGCTGATGAAGGATTTAGACTTGAGTAATGCAAACATTATGGTCTCCCTTTTGGATCAGGAAAAACTACTGCAAGATAAAGAGTTCTTAAACTTTCAGGCTGAGTCTCTTATGATAAATTTGAGCTCTAAAAACATTGAGTCACTTATTTTGGCATCAAAGTTCCAAGAGATGGTTTCTCATTTAGCTGTGGCAGAAAATGAGCTTTGTAGTCAGCATGATGTTCTTGAGAACTTAAAGAGAGACTTGATTTTTTCCAAGGTAGATAAAGAGTTAAAGGAGCAGTATTTGGCTGATATAGAAGTTGAGGCTGCTTCTTTGAAAGCAAAAGCAAATGAAGCAGAAGATGAGACCCGGGACCTGTTATCAAGGCTGAGAGACAGTAGTCTGTCAGTCACACGCTTGGAAGAGGAAAATAAATCTCTTATGCAAGGGATTCAGTCTCTAAAGAATGTTGCTTCATCAAATGATATTTTAAAACACGAACTTGGGGAAGTTAAGGTGAAACTGCATAACCAAATTCAGGAAATCGTAGTTGACCGAGAAAATTTGTTAAAGGGTTTGAGGATAAAAGAAGAAGAATTAGAACTTTCTGCTGGTCGTATATCCATTCTTGAGCAAGAAAACAAAAAATTACAGGAGGAAACTTTTTCACTGGAAACATCCTCATGCAAACTTCAAAAAGAGCTAGATATGAAAGCTCTGGAGCTCAGTAGAATGTCCTTCTTGGAAGAAGAAAATAAATCTCTGAAAATTGATGTACAAAAGCTGAAGATGGAAAATAGCTTGGTTATCCGGGATTTGGAGGAGGAGAAATCAAAATTTGAATCATCTCTAACCCACATTCACAGTATTGATATAGAAAACCAAAGGTTGCAAGAAAAACTTTTCTCCTTGGAGTCTTCCATTGCCAGTATACAAAATGATTTGGATTTGAAAAATGCTGAACTGAACAGACTCCAGCAGTCTCAATCTGCCATTATGGAGGACCTCTGCTTAAAAAGCCATGACCTGCAGACTTATGTAGACAGGGTAAACACCTTGAGGGATGAGAACATTTCCTTGAGGGATGAGGTTGGGAATCTTGAAGAAGATAAACGTGAAGCTCTGACCATATCAAGCTTAACTATTGCAAAATGCATTCATTCTGTAAATTCTGTAGATATGATCAAGAACGAGTTATTTAATCTTGTAAATGAAGATGGTTTTGTGATAGTGGATAAATGGCTTCAGTTGATGTGTGAAAATTTAAACATCATTTCTAAGTTCACAGAAGAAGTTGAGTTCATGGAAGGCCACATTATCACTCTTCAGGATGAGTTATTGAGGAAAGATGATATTCTGCAAGGCTTGTTATTTGACCTGAGACTGTTGCAGGAGTCTGCCTCAAATTCAAAGGATCAAAAGGACGAAATGGAGGAAATGAAGGCTTGCTTGGAAACTTTAGAAGAAAAGCTTTCCATGACATCAAATGAGCTTGATGAGGCAGTTGCTCATAGCCAAATGCTTGTAGTTCAGCTGAAGGAGAAAACAGATATGATTTCTACAATTGAGCTGGATATTTTTAAGGAACAAGAATCTCTAAAATTGCTTTCCAATGAAAATATAGAGCTGAGAGCCCAACTTGAAGATGCTTTGGCCTCAAAATGTGCTCTTGAGGAGGAGATAAAGGAGAGAAGAAAGATGACTGAGAGCTTGGAGATGGAACTTTTAGAAATGGATAATGTTCTTGGCCAGATGAATGATACAACTGAGTCCTTGAGGAGTAATTTGAACGAACTCACTGGTGACAGAGATCAACTACAAGAAGAGGTTCTTTCTTTGAAAGAAAGACTGGAAAATGCAGAGGAGCAAACTAAACAAATTGAAGCTATTTCTTTGGAAGCTCAACAGGTATGTACTCTTTTTTAATATAATAACTAGATTGTTTTTATATACTCTAGTTCCTCATTCAGATATTCCAAATTCATACAGATAGCTGAATCAAGAAGGATTTATGCTGAAGACAGGGAAGCGGAGGTGAAGCTATTAGAGAGGTCTGTTGAGGAGCTTGAATGTACTGTAAATGTACTAGAAAACAAGGTCAGTGTTTCCTTTTTGACTCAGTTTGTAAGCAACTTGTATTATCATAATGCCGCTTCTCATGAAAGTCCATTTGTTAAGGTTGACATTGTCAAAGGGGAAGCTGAACGACAGCGGTTGCAGAGAGAAGAGCTAGAATTGGAGCTTCATTCTGTAACTCAGCAGTTGCAAAGTCTTAGAAATGCTGATGTTGATATGAAAAGGTTAAGAGAAATAATCCTGAACTTTTATTTCCTTTCAAGAAAACCATTTTGCTTCATGATGTCCTATTTCTTTGAATTTCCAATGCGTGATTTTGTTTGGTCAATAGGAGTTTGGATGAAAAGGATACTGATCTTCAGGAAGCTATAAAGCATATAGAGCTGCTTGAGAGGGATTTAGCTGATAAGAGTGCCGAGGTGAGATTCCTCATAGGCCTTTGTACTATTGTTTATTCTTGTTACTTCCTAAAATTTTTACAATCTAGTGAGTTTTCATTATAGTTTCAGAAATTTATAGCATACTCTGTTTATGCAACAGATTGTCCAATTCAAAGCACATATTTCTGAGTTAAATTTGCATGCAGAAGCCCAGGCCAGTGAATACAAACAGAAGGTAGGCTGACAAACACAGATCTATGGATGTAATTTTTCAGGCACAATTTGGTTTACATGTGTTTGTACCCTTTAATGGTATCTAATGTTCGGAATCCAAAAACAGTTCAAAGCATTGGAAGCTATGGCTGAACAAGTAAAACCTGAAGGCCATCTCTCTCATGTTCCAAATTCTTCAGCTATTAAGTCAGAGAGAAACACGGTAAAATCTAGGGGCTCTGGCTCACCTTTCAAATGTATAGGATTGGGATTAGCCCAGCAAATTAAATCTGAAAAAGATGAAGATCTTACTGCTGCAAGGCTACGAATTGAAGAGCTAGAAGCTTTAGCAGTAAATCGACAGAAAGAGGTATGATTCACCATCTCACTGTGGATTCTGCTAATTTTAAGAAATGTTAAGAAATGCATCATGAAGTTATTGATTAAATTTGTATTCTGCTTCCAGATATTTGCTTTGAATGCCAGATTAGCTGCTGCAGAGAGCATGACTCATGACGTAATTCGAGATCTACTTGGAGTCAAATTGGATATGACAAATTATGCGGTATCTATATATAGTCTTATGCTTATCTTTCCAAATAATTGTGACTGCTTGGACTGGGAATACATGTAGTACAAAAACTGCATTACTGTATGCCTCTGTAGGGAGCCATACACTTTGATAGAATAGTATTAATGACGATGGCGATGGTAGTAACTAAAAGATCAGTTTTCAATAATGATGGTGGTGGTGGTACTAACTAAAATGTCAGTTTTTCTTCATGTAGTCTTATAAACCAATTTTTTACAGGCAATTTAATGTCACGTTGCCTGTTTTGTTACTGCAGTCACTGTTGGATAATCAGCAAGTACAGAGAATAGCAGAGAAGGTTCAATTAAGAAGTCCTGGCTATCAAGTAAAGGTGATTTCTTTTCCCAGTGGTGCTGAGGAAAAACTGGTTGCTTCTTTTTTCTGGTTGATCCTGAATATTAAACATGTATGATCAGGAGGTAAACAAGCTTAAGCAGCAGCTGAGTGAATTTATTGAGGAGAGGCAGGGGTGAGCAACTGTCACTTAAAATTTTAGGAATTCGCAGTCAACATTTCTTTTCATTTTTCCAAATTGGGATTGTTTTGGAACATAAGTTTCTGGCATCAGTATATATTGTCTAAACTGTAGATGGCTGGAGAAATTGATCGAAAACAGG